TTCGATCGAAATTTCGTTTTTCGTTGAAATAGAGTAGGTCTCCAGATTTCTGACCAAAACTGTGGGATCAAGTGGGAGACAGTGTTACAAGGGGCACAGTGTAACGTAAGGAATATCTCTGCCTATTTCTTATTTGTCTTTGGTTTTACTTGACGTGGTTTTATTGGTTTTAAGCAGCTATATGCTATTGGTCAGTGCATTCGCCCGGATTGCGAAGGGTGCGGGTTCGAGTCCCGTCTGCTGCCTGGTCCGCGTGGATTTTTTTCTAGTTATGTTTTCTTTAGATTTAAACATCAAGCAGTTACATGCTTTAAAAAATAAAAATTACAGCTATATGCTGCCATTTTAAGCAACTGTCATCAGACGTCAAATGGCCGGGTACAATACAGAGATATTTATTTAGTTACAGTGTGCCCCTTGTTAAAGTATTCCCATTTGATCCTATTTATATTGAGATACTCCATGCTTTAAAAAGTATACGATAAAGTGTCCGATACTGGCACGATTCTCTGAACCTAAAATAGGGTATTTGACAGGTTTTGGAAAACGATCACACGTTATTTATTTATGTTTATGGAGTCCATAAAAATGGATAATCATCATTCTCTTGTGTATTTCAGTAAAAATAACTAAATCAAAAAATGGTTGCCTGTAAAGTCGGTTTTACGGGCGAAGATTTTACGTGACAACGTCTTTTTCTCGGTAGAATATTTATTGATATGAATATAATTAAATTGCACAATAGGAACAAGGAATTGAATGAAAATAAGAATTGCACAAATTTTAACTATAGAAATATATTTTGTTTACTAAAACATTGTACATGTAAACTTAAACTTAACACGAGAGACTCATCGTAACGTTACCGAGCGTTACACTTTTTCATAAGTGACTCCCAGCCGCAACCTAATTTAAGACGTTGTCACGTCAAAAACTCAAATTTTAGTAAATTTAAAATAATAACAAAATACTATAATTCGAAGCATAGCACACCCAAACACACAATAATAATTATAATCACGGCCTATGCTTTTGCAATATCTGTTTAAATGTCCATGTAGTTAAAATTCTTTTCGTTGCCACGTCTAAATGACGCCACATTTAGCCGGAAAGGGCAAAAATGTATGGACGCTGCACCCACGTCCGCCACGTCTTAAACTACATTTGTTTAAAGGTTATTATAGTCATGATTATCTGTGCCAAAGCGCATCAAATTCTATCCCGGGGATCTTTAGTTATTTTAAGTTTGAAGCGGCTGAAAAAGCTAAGGCAGGCAAATACAGGGGTCTAGGCTCCGAATATGATTTTGTCCTATTCGGTGTCGAGACCCTTGGTCCGTGGGGTCCTAGCGCTATAAGGCTTTTTAAAGAAATAGCAAAAACATTAGTCGACATCACAGGAGACCGAAGAGCTGGCAGCTACCTCGGACAAAGAATTAGTCTAGCTATTCAAAGGGGGAACGCTGCCAGTATCTTCGGAACCTTGCCTAAAGGGACTCCTTTTAATAATGTATTTTAGTTATTATATTTTATTTTATAAGGTTTTTAGTTTTAGGTTCATTGTTATAGTATATTTTTTGTTTTAATTTAAATACTTACAAGTACTACAACGAACGAACATTAATGAAACAAGGGAATTAATTTAGTTAGTTAGTCCGACCCTATTTAAGGGGCTCAGGTATTATGGGAGTACTTCACTAGGTGCAAGGGTGCCCCCTTGTGTTACTCTGCCGCGCTAGAGTAAATCCAAAAATCCTCGCATGGGTTGGAGTTTTTTCAAACTTTGTGCTCGTTATAGTAAATTGTTTTCTATGTGAAACGGAGCGACCACAAATCACACCAACTTGTCCACGCTTCGGAGAAAACATGATTCCAGGTCATCCATACTAATTGGAAAAACTGATAATCGTGTTCCAATGTCCAAAGCGTGTTAGATAAAAATCAATCAAGTGACCGGGAGCGCACAATCACAAAGAAGTAAGACGAGTCGACAATTTGCAACTGCAAGTCCTTCAACCCCCGTAAACCGTTTTGAGGTGGCTCAGTAAGTGCAAGCGCAGGATGGTCGGCAGGCTTTGTCATCTATATCTGGTTGTATAGTATGATATGGCATATTATTATGGTTACTAATAATATAGAATGAAGGTACTATAAAGTGAATTTATTTAGCTACTTAAATTTTAAGTGAATTCACTTTACATGGGCATATTTAATATGCCCATTTATCATATCTTTTGACTGCCAGGATATTTTTTACGGTGTCATAATAAAAAAGGCTAGTTTTTCATAGATCTATCGATTCATACTAATTACATTGTTGGCGGAGCTGGGTGCGTTTTGCCCATTGTGCTTTAATAGAAATAAATTCTACGCTGTCCCTCTCTACGTAAATCATCGCGGGAAGCGCCACTTTAGCAGCTTTGTTTTTCTTATTAAAAATTGTGTTGTGACGGATGTTAGTATCTAATAATGGTGTATTATTAACCACTTAGTGGTCTGGAACATGCACAAGTGCTGGCAAATGAAACAAAATAGCGGAAAGTGTCTTTCGACGTTCCCTCAAGAAGTCCACGGGGAGGTTCCAGTAAATCCCCACACATTTACTGAAACATAGGGAAAGGGGGATTGACTTGACTGCCACTTACTTTGACTTGATTTATTACTTTGACCACGAGTGCTATAGAATTTGTAAACATTTTACCACTTGACATTGGCTAAATGCACAAGCCGTGCGAAGCCATTTATAAAAAGAAAAAAAAGGTGCAAGTTACTTCCCCAGACGGGCGCTCCAATTCGAGGGGCAAATCCGGTATTCCCTTTTTTATACTTGCTCTTTTATCTTTTCTATTTTTATAGGACAAAACAACGTCTATCAGGTCGACTAGTATGATAATAAAAGCCATTTTTGTTATGCACGGTCCATCTAACCTATATCCATGTTTTCATTCGATAACCCGAGACGGTATCTTATTGCAAACGGATATTTTCCAATATGGCTAAGAGTGGCTTGTACACATCTATAAGCTTAGCCAATGATCGTAATGCATGGACATAGTGTTTCTTGTAATTTGTTGGGAATAAGTCATTTTTCATAACAGTAATATGGTACCTATCTAATTCTGCTTCCTATTTTCTAAATATAATGTTAACTATAATGTTTATTGTAACTATATATTTATATTCGAAATGATGTAATGGAAGGAGACTTCAGAAGTATTGTTGAAGTGATTTTTCAACTTGAAGACTCTGTATATAACAATACAGGGAGAAAAGCAGCCCTTACTGAGTTTCTTGCCGGTTCTTCTCAGTACAAGGTCTCCCGCTGAAGTTTTGCAAATCGATGGCGTTCCTTCTTGACCTTCACAAGTGCTTGTAACAGCCTAGACTGAATAAATAATTTTTGATTTCATTTGAATGGTCACACTACATAGATAATAACCATGCAGTTTTTTTTGTTTTTATTGTGACCGATGCATTAGCTGAGTTTGGCTTTATTGTATGAGTTTAAATAATCTGAATTTCAGACCATCTTTTTATGTGGTATACAATAATAATTATGTAATTTATTCCAAAGCGCAATATTGTAGAAAGTGTTTCAATTGACTTTTGATAATGTTGTGCAATATTTTAGAAAAATGTAACTTAATATTGGTAAACGGATACAATTATTTTATCGGTTTTTAATGAATATTAAAACATAATATCGGTCAATTAATAAAACCCATCTGTATACTGATATCCTAGCCAGTTGGTTCTTTTGCTTATCATGACGTGACTTTCCGTTTTTTAGCATCACCTTAAGTTATTTGTAGGGATCGTAAAAAGATAATTTTAGGGTTAGCCGTTATTACAAGCTTATCTTTATACAAAAACTTCAAGTTCTTTTGTGTCTAAAATACGATACATTTGAAGAGTAAATTAGATAATTTTTTGACAAGAGAAAATATTTGTTTCTTAGGCCAATGATCGTAATGCATGGACATAGTGTTTCTTGTAATTTGTTGGGTATTAGTCATTTTTCATAACAGTAATATTGCACCTATCTAATTCCGGTTCCTATTTTCTAAATATAAAGTTAACTATGAAGTTTATTGTAACTATATATTTATATTCGAAATGATGTGATGGAAGGAGACTTCAGAAGTATTGTTGAAGTGACTTTTCAACTTGACGACTCTGTATACAACAATACAGGGAGAAAAGCAGCCCTTACTGAGTTTCTTGCCGGTTCTTCTCAGTACAAGAGAAAATATTAAATTTTCCTATCATAATTATAGTATTAGTATAGTACAGAAACAAAAGGATATTGCCTCCTTTACCTAACTTTGGTGGATATTTGGTCGCGCGGTTGGTCTGTGCAATTGTGTATAATTTCCTGCTAAATTAAGCTTCGTTATGAACATTGTAATTTGAAAATTAGTAAGTTTGTTATAACAGTTCGGATATTTCAATGAAGTTGAGTTATGCTGCTTTATTGAAATACTACCCTTTTTCTCCGCATTTTCTCTTTCTTTTTCTTTACTTTGAAAAGAAATATTCCACCTCTATCTACTATGTCGAGAAAATAACTACATTTTAACGTATTTAATAACTCGTTTGGTAGCAATTGTTTAATCGGTGACTACGATAACAACAACATCCCTTATTATGAAACAAGATATACTAAACATAATAATATCACAAGATATCCTGGGTTAATTAAAGGGAATTCAGAAGCTGTCAAATAATACGAGAACTTATCTATGTAGATAACCCAAATTATAAATATTCAGAAAACATTTAAATTATTTTTGTGATTGCTTGTAACTTTTTTGTTCTGTTGAGCAGATTTTTATTTTAAGAAAAAAAAAACAAGATTTATTTAATAATAATTTAGTAAAATCATAATTCTAAGTTTCGTGCTTCTACCTAGGTTTCGTCATTGTTCAGATTAATACGTTTTCATATTTTAAATTATATATTTGATTATAACTAATATAGTAGATTATGACTTTTGCTTACCTTTTTTGTAGTTTTCGTTTTTGTCTTTGTGACCCTTGTGATCACTGGAAGCCGGTACCGTATCACTTACAGCACTCGGAGCAGTCTCCTGAGCAGTTGTTACTGTGCCTGCTCCCGTAGTGTCCAGACCTGTTCCTGTGGTATCAGTAGCCGTAGCAGTGGTATCAGCTGCTGTAACAGTAGTATCAGGACCGGTCCCAGTCATAGGGAAACCTGGAGCGGTCGTTAAACCTTTAGCTGTTTCTTTAATTGTCTCAGCTACATGTGAATCTGGCTCAGGGGTTGTTTTCTTATTTTTGCGTCTACGCTTGTTTTTTCGTGTTTTAGGGAAGTACAACGTTGGCTCTCCTTCTTTGCCTTCAGTGTTTTGAGGTACTAACGATATACTCTCGTTTTCTTCAAGGTCTGGGGACGAAGTAGAAGTCGCGTAACGAGAAGAGAACCGAGAAGACTTCAAACTTGATGTCGATGTTGGTCTTTTTGTAGTTTCCTCACCAGTTTCTTCATCGTATACCATGTAAAGTTGGGGATTTTTAAATACGGACAATTTGCCTACTCCTTCTTTTTTACTTTTATTCTTTTTTTGTTTGCGTGTTTTCTTCGGCTGACGGGTAGTCACTGATGCATCTTTAAATGGGTTTATTCTATATTTGTCATGAACAGGGTCTTCTCTGTCTTCATATTCATCATATTCGGACACTTTTTTATAACCACCGCGATTATCGTATTTACCAACATTAGGATTATGTTTTAAATTATTTCTTTCGTGCTCTTCTCTAAATACTTCTTCTTCTTTTTCCGATATCACACGTTGTTCTTCAGCGTGCCTTACTTTGAGTTCGTCAACACTATCAAGTATTTTAGCTTTCTTTGCATCATTTTCTCTTTTCTCTTCTTCGGTTTCTTCAGGTTTTCGTTTTTCTACATCTGATTCTTCATATTCAGCTTCTTCTTCATATTTTTTATCAACCTTCTTGTCTTGGGCTTTTTCTTCACTAGATTCCTTCTTCTCAACTTCAACTGACTTATTTTCTTTAATTTCTTCCGCAATAGAATCGTTTGTTCCATTTTTCGTTTTGTTTGCGTTATTGTCAAAAAGTGATATTTGAATTTTATCAACATCAAGAGCGGGTTTCGTAGTTATTATATTAACAACTCCGTCGATATCTGATATATCTGTATGATTTAATATTTTATCAGTTTCAACGATTTCGGCAGGTCGATTTACATCCGACCACTCCTTTTTCTCATAATAATCTTCACTGTCACTATCTCCACCTTGGCCCTTCTCGTAGTAATCGTCACCTTCAGGTTCAGCTACAGCTCTGAGGATGAAATTCACTGGTGGAGCCAATCGCTTTTTTAGTTTTGTCTTGGGTACACTAACAAATTCTCCGAGTTCCTCTCCATGTTTGTTTTTGAACGGCACCCAATCGGGAAAGAATTCGGCCTGGCGTTTCGTCACATTATTTTTTTCACTCACTTTTTCTATACTAAGCGCGTTTACAGAAACGAGACACAGAAAAATGACGGAGTTAGTGAAGAAGGTCATCGTTTCATAACTTTTTTCAACGGGAGTTGTAAAGTGTGCGCCGGCGCACGACAGACTGATCGCGCTCGCACAACCACTATTATTTATATTGTTTGTAAAATGATCCTATAAACTGTGGACGTCGGTCGCGGTGAAAGAATTGAATGGACATGCATTGTATCAATAGACTGCAGTTGTAAAGTAGGCAAAGACACTTTTTATGTAAATTTTCGAATTTTACGAATCATTTTTCGTTGAACTAGAGTAGACATGGTTTTCAAAGTTTAAGAAAGATGTGGCTTTACTATTTTGTTTTAGAAAGATGATGTTCAACTCAGTGAAGTTTTTCTTGTCCTAATTTTATGCAATGTTCGAGTGAAAGATGACTGCATTTTTTTTTTGTCGTATATGTCTCTGATAAAGCTAGAAACTTAGACTTGGCGTATATGATATTTTTGTAAAGTTGTTGGTACATATTAAATTTGCCAGTGGTATCGATTCTGGCATGATTCTATAAACTATACAATTAAATTTGACAGCTGTGTATCCTTGTCATTATCTATACAAAATAGCCTGATCTTAAATTAATTTTAAGTTTACATAATCATGCCAGAATTGTCATAAGTGTGATGGTAGAATCTTACAAATTGTGAAAACAAATTAAAATATTTTTTTAATTATAATGAGTTTTTTTTTAAATTTTACAACCTTACCTAATTATATTTATATAATATAATCACAGTCATATATAAAACTAACAAAACATGACATATCCATACCAATCATACACAAAAATCTAGCGAGGAGACAGTCGCGTGAAATTATCATTTTCCATGCAAGAATCTGTTACAAAAGAACGTTTGAAACGCAGCGTTTTATATCAAAGAATGTTTAGTACCCAGAATAATATTAAATCTTAGTACCCAGAATAATATTAAATATTAAATTTCTTAACTATTTCGTCTCCATGAATTTACAAGATAATTCTTTCAATGTTAATAAACGCTAAGACACAAATTTCAATGTGATAGCATTGGGTTTTAGTTAGTAGGTAATTAAAAACAACATAAAAAGTAAACATTGGTATACTGGAGTCTAATTTTTGTGGACAATCACCATCAGTAGCCTATAAATGTTCTCTCTGTGGAACACAGGCCCTTCTAACGGATTCCGAACATAATTACAGAGAAATGGGGGGCCATAATCTGCTAAGCTGGCCAAGTGCCGATTGATTAGTACCTAGACAATGGAATGAGTAAAACGATAAAATGAAAATATAGAAATCTTTTGGTGCGATTTGTATAATCCAGAATTGCTGTATTAGAAGATTGGAAAACATATTGTTAACAATATAATGCCAGGCTCGAAGAACTCCAGAGCTACTTCAGTAGAAGATTCGCAAAAAAACGCCACGTTCCAACCGCATCTTTGAGACTCAAGGCCGACTGTTGAAACGTGCGCGTCTTCTGATCTTTTCTGGGCAAGAGTTGCGCTTGGTTGCAAAAACGATCGAGAAAAACCAAAGGCAATGACCTTTCTGTTTTCTTTGATGAGCGTGACGGACCGCCGGTTTGATAATTCTGCATTCAGAGATCGCGAATGCCTTTATTGGATTTTGGATCTAGATTTGTAATTTTTTTATTTTATAGTGAGATCGGAAATAAAAGTTTTTATTTATTAAGACATTTTTGGATTAGTGGTTTACTTCTGGCGTATGCCGAGGACTTCTTAATGAATATTGGTTTCCTATACATTTTTTTTACGAGGCGCACAAATTACCCCACCCCGTCTGATGTTAAGTGCAAGTAGAGTTCAGTCGCGAAGATGATGTGGCAGAAGCTGTGCCACTACAGCAATCCTCACCTGGCTGGCTTAAACACAATTCCCTAACCCGCAGAGCCCTTTTTTATACGCAGGCAAAAATACTGTTTACAGACGACGGCGCCTTTAAGAGCCACACCGCTGAACAGACCTCACACCTGGCCCCCGCAAGCCTTACAAGCCCCAGCAGTGGCTACCCACTGAGGACCCCGTAACTCTTACGGGCGCTTTACGGCTTAATATACGCTAAAAAACCCTGCGAAGCCCTCTAAGCTGCTAAGCGCGAAGCCGCGGGATCCCCGTTTAGGGATTCTTCCGCGTCTCCGCACCTAGCAGCCTCCCGGCCTAGCCACTCCACGGCAGGGGTCTCCCGGGGTATCGCGGGGCAGTCGGCCCCGGGACAAGGCCTTTTATTGATTTAGAGCTCGGTAGCGAGCTATCAAAAGTTGAGTTGGCAACTTTTGCCGTAGAAATGAATCAAAGTAGGTGGTCTGTGGAGGTTGAATAGTCATAGACGTAGTTGGAGAGAGTATCCGTGTCATGGGTAGCCATGGCAACGGATAAAAAACATTAAGTTGTCACGAATGTCAATAAAATAAATAAACTTAAAATAGATAAAATCGGAGCAAAATTAATGAAAACAAATAAATAACAGAATATAGAGAAATGCCGGTAAGTGTCCAGCACTCTGGAATAGTGATTTTCAGTACAGATGGAATTATAATACGTATTTACAAAATGATGAATAGTGTGTGAAATTTTCAATTGTGTGTTTCCAGAAACACATAATAAAATATATGCCTATGAAATACGATGATGTTATATGATAAAATGTGTGAAATGGAAACTATGATAGTCAAACCCATGGGACGATTCCTGAGGTACGTTACATTAATACAAGCCTGAGAACAAAAACTGTAGTCTACACTTCAGTTACACCGAAGCGAAGCGAGGGCGGGCCGCTAGTCTGTGTGATGAACTAAAATTCATCAAAATCTTCACATTACAGGCTCGTGAGCGAGCGTAATAGGGTACACACAGTCTGAGCGACTTTAGGACAAATAAGTATATTAATGTTATGTTATATCAGCATGAATGAGTGTGTAGCGTATCGCAACAATATCCGAAATCGGTGAGAATAACAAAACGTGAACAAGAGACTATGGTCAAATAATATCAATAGAAAATGTTTTGTTAACAAACTTGTTGTGATCTATTCGTTATATATCCATATTGTAACTTCGTATTGCTATTTTAAAGTAAACCGTTATGGCCTAATAAATAAATAAATAAATAAATAATAAATAAATATTTCCGACACTCACACCAATTAGCCTAGCCCCAAAGTAAGCACTATAAGGCTTGTGTTATGGGATGCTAGGGTAACGGATAGAATACATATACTGTACATAATTATATAAGTATATTACTGGAGTATAAATGCTCGTATTCATCACACAAACATCTGCCCCCACCGGCATTCGAACCCGGGACCTCTCGAGTTGGCGACAGCCATGAAACCCGGCGTACAAACCACTCGGCCACGGAGGTCATAAAATAATCATTTATTAGCAGTTCTAATTCTAACAGCTTTTCCATTTCATAGTCAAGGTATTTGGGATCTAAATATACTCGTAATAAACTTAAACAATTCATTTCAAATCATACTGGATAGGGAATCAACTTGGAACAGCATACAATGTGCCATGACAGCTCGGGCGGGTGTGTAGAGATCATTGTGAACTTGGTTGTCTACATTTAAAACTACATTTGTTAGAGGATGAACGGCGTTAAAAATCCTGAGTTATCAGTTTTTAGATTTTAACCTGCGGAGCTGGGATTTCCCACTTTCGCTATCTGGGCGAGCATAGAGAATTTGATACTCGCAATTAATGAAGTTGACGATTTTGATGTTGGACTGTTGTCTTCCCTGATGGCTCCTTTAAATGATATCTCCCCTAGGTTGGGGAGACAGCAGGACTTACTTTTAGAATTGTAGGTATATTAAGTACTAGCGGCCCGCCCTCGCTTCGCTTCGGTGTAGAGCTGAAGTGTAGACTACAGTTTTTGTTCTCAGGCTTGTATTATACACAATAACATTCATCTATGATTCTTCTTATATCTGCATGCAAAGTCTCAGCCCGATCGGTTTAAAATTGACAAATTTTCATACAAACTTTCATTCCCTATTTTATCCCCTAGGGGTAGAATTGATCAAAATCCTTTCTTAGCGGATGCCTACGTCATAACATCTACCTGCATGATAAATTTCAGCCCGATCCGTCCAGTGGTTTGGGCTGTGCGTTGATAAATCACTATGTCAGTCAGTCAGTCACCTTTAAGTTTTATATATATAGATAGATATATCTCCATGGCGCAAGTGGTTAGCGCTTTCGGCTGCGATCGTTGAACTTAAGCAACTTTCGCAGTGGTCGGTTAGTGGATGGTTGACTAAAAATTTACTATCTCGAGTTGCTCCGTGTTTCGGAAGGCACGTGGAGCCGTTGGTCCCGGCTGCATCTGCAGTCGATAGCACTAGTGACGTGCCGAGTCGGTTATTTTTGGTATTCGGGTATTTTAGTACTCGTTAAAAAAAGATTCGAATTAGGACTCGAGTCGGAAGACTCTGATAGGTATTCGAGTACTAGCACGAGTATTCGAATACTTTTCTGGTCTCGAGTATTGTTTGAATCGGACCTTGTAATTCTTCGAGTCTCGTCCCTCCCCGTTCTATATTCTTCGAGTTGACCTGAATAGCATTTTTTGACAAAAAGTTCATCTGTAATTGTCTTTTAAGACTTTTCGCTGGTACTTGGTCAATGTCATTTGATTGAATTGTAGATGACAATGCTAATGAGTCTAATGACTCCAAGTCCAAATCAGAACTCTCATCCAAGCTTTCGTTTTCATTTTGCTTACTTTTTTTCTATTATCGCTGTATAAATCAAAGGATGTATTTTTTCAAAAGTTTAATAAATTTATGGTGTTTCCAAAATTAACTCCACTCCACTTTTTTATTTGTTAAAATATTATTAAAATTGCATACTTCGTATTTTTTCTTCGGAGCCATCCTATCACAAAGTCACTAGTTAAAAAACAGTAAAACTTTACACAAATTCTACAGTTAAACTGGTAACCCAGAGTTCGATTAATTAAAATAGGTAATTACTTATAAGAAACAAATATGTAATTAAACTTTTGTTAACATCTCATTAAAGTTTTCGGCCGAGTAGGAAACACAAAC